CTGACGAAGCTTTGCTACAGATCCACAGCACATGCCAGAGAATCCCAGCTGAGCCAAGGCAGAGGCTGCTGTGGCACTGAGGATGGCTGCTGCCAGCTGAACATGGGTTACGGTCACGGATTTTTTTTAAATCAAGTATAATAAACCCTAGGGAAATGTCTGCATTACTGGGATTGCTTGTTTCCCCCAACCACTTCCCTCTTGGTGTGCAATACAAAAAACAGAACTGAATCCAGAGCAAAAATCCCAGGGCCAAATTCCAATTTAGGCCTTTGCTTGATAGTAGAGTCTAACAAAGTTATTTCCAAACTTGGCGAAATAAGATGTTCCCCTAAAATATATTTTTGAATGGAAAATTAAATTAAAATTCTACAAACTCAGGAGCCCTTCCACTGACATTTACATGCAAACAGGAGTGAATTGACCATACTGCCCCCAGCATCCTATTGACATTTTTCAACACTTCAGTAATTCTCATCTCTCGTCAACCCTCTCCAACATAACACTTTGTTAATTGCAGACACCACAGTTGGACCCTATTCCTGAGCAACACCAGTGTCAAATATTTTCAGTTTGGCAATGTTTGATGCAGGAGCCCCTTGTGAAATTTTCATTGTTCTGCTCTCAGTAGTACTGTCTCAGAGGTTTAGAAAGCCAAACTATGTAGAGAGACTGATACACTGGGTTTGCTGTTTACACAAATATAGCACTGTTGAGAGCTCTTCAGAATCAAAGTTTTGAAAGAAAGGAAAAAAAAAAGCCAGTTCTCCAGCAGACTGAAAATACTTAAAACCAGTGTGATCAGCTAATTAGCATGGCAAGATACCCGAGTCTGCACATTTCACCCCACCACGCTGTTTTGCCAGTTCTTACTGCTTTCATGCTCTCACAATTTAGACTCTCTGTTCCAGCAGTGGCCGGTGCACTGACAGCGTTCATATGTGAAATTCGCATGGGGAATGGCTGCTATGTAAGTGAGTGGTAAAAAACCCACACATCTTTCTGAACTGACTCATTTGACTGCATAGAGCTGTAATATTTTTGCTGTTACAAAAGGTGAAATGATTCAATTTGTGCCAACATTTATCTCATAAGTCCAACTTAGTGGATGTTAACGTCTACAAAAATCTAAAAGACAAAAGCAGATTCTTTTTAGCAACCATAAGAGGGTGGAAATTAGAAAATACTTAAATGACAGTTTAAACCAAACAAATGTTATCATTTAATCTCTGAACAGAAGGCAGCAGCAACAGATTTCAGCCCCATTCGGCATTTGCCTGGAAACTGTTTTAAGGAAAAATGGTACTTGCTGTTTGAACAGCATCTTTAAAAAAAGTTTCCCTAACCAGAAACATCTGTTGACTGAAATGTTTCTGAACTACTGTACTCTTACCAGAAGTAAAGATTGCAGATGAAGTGCCTTATATTGTTCTTAGCAGACCTCGGTTGAATCTAGTATTTAGCCAAAGTTGAGTTGAGCACTTGAACTATCACTTACTTCAAAGATGCTGAGCATCTCTCACTCCCATCGCCTTGCCAGAGAACTACAGGTGTTTAACCTTGGGCTTGTCTGTAGTGGCAGTGTCAGCCAACAGAAGACACAGCTTTGAGGGTTAGAAGGGAAGTGATGCACGTAACTGACTAGAAAGTAGCTTGCAATGCTGCCACTGCACTCATGCCATTCTGACAGCAGAAATCACTTGGGAGCCAGGGCAGACTCACCATTACCATAATGCTGGTGGTTCTCCGTGGTTGGAAAAAAAGATTTTTTTAAAAAAAACATATGAATAGTTAATCACCACAGATCTCTAGGGCATTATGTTATCCATAGACATACCACATGTTTTACATGAATAGAAAATGTATCTGTGATCCTTACTAGTGACAACAGGTACATTTAAAAATGCAAATTACACACTACCTGTTGAGGTGAGCCCCTCCATTTACCTGTGATAGAAGAGCTACTATCAGAAACACAAAGTTCAACACTTTCTCCCTTTAGATACTAGCGGTGTCCTCTCTCACAAAGCAACCGGAACCCTGAATTCAGATTTTGGCAGGTAAGTGAGAAAATGATTTTTAATTACTTTTAGTAAGTTAAAGAGTTTATCCCTTTACTACCAGCATTGCCCATCCCAATCAACAGGTTATATTACAAACCATCAAAGTGTAGTCATCATGAATGTGGCTTATCTAAAGAGGAAAACAGCTTTTGCTGAGGGAGCCAGTTTCACAGAAAAAAGTGAGGTCTCTGTTGCATGATTTTTTTCACCTGAATACCACAAGAGAGCAAATTTTGTAAAAAATGGTTTATCAGTTCCATTTTTGTATAAAACACACGGGAGAAACCTAGCCAATCAACACACGAATTGCTGCCACATGACAAGATACTTTTTGTCAAACTTTGAATCTAAAGAACATACAAATGTTTTCTCATGTCTACAGTCAATTGTCTATGCTCTTCCATTTAACTATTTCTTAAAAAATTCCACATATCCCCATATTTCTTCTGTCCCAGTTACAGTACAATGACAGGGAGGAAGAGGGCTGGTTAAAACTCCTCTCTATGCAGTTTTCTGCTGTCCCTTCTTTCCAATCAGAGACTTATGGATGTGAGGGATTACACCTGCAAAGAGAACAATGGATTAGAATAGTAGCACAACAAATATTTCTCAGCAGGTTACTTTCTGTCAATTCAAAGGTTTGTTCTTTATCTGAATAGCCAGAAAGTTTTGCATGATCTGCATAAACTTACACCTTTTCTTGTTCTTTGCCCATTCTCCAGCCATAATTTCATCCCACCACAATGGAACCTCCTTTGTCATTTTAACAGGTTTACTGTCTCAACAGCCCATTTCTAAGCTGTAAAGCTAAAATGGAAGTTGTAAGGGTACATAGACCAGCTCAATTGACCTGTGAGTACTAAGGCTGACCACGGCTACGTCTGCAGCTAGCGCAGTGTGTTGAGCAGACGGCTAGCACAGGTTTGACAGCAGTGTAGATGGGGAGGCTTTGCTTAGGCAAGTACAGAAGTGCAAGAACCCGCCAGTATGAGCCCAACACAGCTCTGTGCGCGCATGCAGCGCTTCCCATAGCTACACTGCCACGCTCCCTGCATACCGTCCTGCTGCAGGAGCTTTTCCCCACTGCAGTAAGAAGTTCAAGCAACAAGAAAAGGGTCTAGCAAGTTCCCTACTACCAGAGAGTCCCAAGCAGAGCCTTTTGCTGCATGTAACTAGTTTGCTTTTCACTGAAGCACATAGCTACGTGTACCCTGCAAGCCACAAGAGTAAACAAGGCCTATATCACTTCTGCAGAGTTTACCAGGCTTATCCCAACAGCAGCACCACATAAGGAAAGTACAGAGGCACAGATGCAACAACAGGAGAATTAACAGGCCCATTCATATAAATCTCACAAGTTACTGTAGGTTATTTTGTCCAATATAGAATTACAATCTCTAACCCAATATCATTTACACGATCTTCAAAGAGCACTCTTGTGAAGCTTAGTCCTCTTCCTATCTAGACTACCTCACACAGCCCAGTCCTTGCTGTAAGGAAAGTTCTAGTCAAGGTTAAAAAGATGGAGGCTGGACAGAAAAGCTGCAATCCCAGGAGCTTTCACAAAAGTGTAACAAATCCCAATTTCCCTCAACTTACAATTATTTTAAGTGTAATGCTCATGGAAGGCACTGAATGGACAATCCACAGAATATGCACTACAAGCTGAAGAGTAATTCAGTAGCTCATCTTTCTCTGAGACTGCCAAATCACAATAGCTATGTTTTAGATACCAATATAGATACAAATATGGCCAAAATTGATTTGTGTCCACTGTGAAATAGTGTGACGGAAGAAATTCAAGTGAAGTTAACTTATTATCCATCATTTTCCTTACTACTGACTCTCCACTTCTATAACGAACCCAGTTAAGAAGCCCAACTAGACATACCTCCACCAGCAATGGTCGCTTTAATGAGAGAATCCAACTCTTCATCCCCACGAATAGCAAGCTGCAAGTGACGAGGAGTGATACGCTTTACTTTGAGATCCTTGGAAGCATTACCTGCCAACTCCAGCACCTGACAAAATTAGTAAGAGTTAGACCTGTCAACGTTTACAAAAAGCAAAATGTTTTTTCAGTGGGAATGTGTCATCATGAACAACTATCTCTGAAGTACTTATATGCTACACATTCCCACAGTATGCAATTGCCTCAAACTGTAATATATTTATCTTCACAGTGCTACTATCCCTATTTTGCAGATGGGAAACTGAGGCACAGATACCTTAATCAGTTTGGTTAGTGTAACAATGGGAGTTTGGGGCAGACCCATGTCTCCCAAGTCCTAAGCTAGCTCTCTAGCTACTTTCTTTATCCATTCACTGATTCCAAGGTCAAAAGGGACCGATGTGATTATGCAAACTGATCTCCTCTCCTGTATGGCTAGAAATTATTGTGGGGAAACTCTCTAAAACAGATCTTGTAGAAAAAACATCCAACCTTGATTTTAACATGATTTGTGAGGGGGAACCCACCACAAGTATTGCAGAGTTGTTCCAATGGTTAATTACTGTCACTTAAAATTGTACACCTTATTCCAATCTGAATTGCTCTAGCTTCAATTTCCAGCTATTGGATTGTATTGTTCTCCAGACTTGAGCATCCCATTATTAAGCATTTGTTCCCCCAAGTAAAAATTTATAAGCTGCAATTAATTCAACCCTTTATCTTCTCTCTAATAAACTAAATAATTGGAGCTCCTTACATGTGTCACTGTAAGCATGTTTAATAAACATCAGTGGCATTATCTGAACCCTCTCTAATTGTCTCAACTGTGGAAATCAAACCTGGACACAGTATTCCCAATAACAGTGGCAAACACAGGATCCTTTACTCCTACTTGAGATTCCCTCATTTTTTAATTGCCTTAGCTCTTTACATCTACAGAATAGTGCATTAGATACCATTCAGCTTAACCAACTGGAGGTGTTTAAAATAAAAATAAAAATTAAAAAATTAAACACACACACACACACGGCAGTAATATAAACTTGCTGCTTAGTTTCTACCACATTGGAAAACTATTTGAGAGAGAAACTGTTTTCTGCTACTTATTTAAAAGGGTCCTAACACTGCAGGTCTAAATGCTGTGTGCTCTGAAAAACATAATCCTGGGGATGATTATCCCTATCACATTTATAGCAAATAGTTAAAAGCATCTTTCTTTTGGTATTCAAACAATGCTACAGTTCGGGGTCCAAAGCGTTCAATATTTGCATCTCACTTATCTTCAATACATTTGTTTGAGTAGCTATTCAGAGCTACAAGGAACATATTTAATTTATTGCAATTATATTTGCCTGATATTAGACACATCTCCAATCTTTCTGTCTAGCTGACTAAACATCTGTTCTCCATGGCTTTGGAAACACAACCACATGAGATATGAAGGACTACACAAAAACAAGGCTACTTCCTAGCCCTTACTTTGTCAGGTACTCTGTGGGTTTGTCAGCAGGTACTTCAAACCTACCTCAGCAGTGAGATACTCAAGAATTGCAGCACTGTACACGGCAGCAGTAGCACCAACTCGCCCATGACTCGTAGTGCGAGTCTTCAAGTGTCTGTGGATACGACCCACTGGGAACTGCAGTAAAAAACACTTGTTAGCATTCGAGATCCACATCTATGGTACAGTACTACATTCCTGCCTAATGTTAAGGTCTGTAAACAATCTGGTATAAGACATGTAAATGGAGTACAAATTTACCGAGACATAAGCCATACAACAGAGGAGTGTTCATTGACTATTGCTAGAACTGCGGGCACTCACTCTACAGAAAATGACATTTTACAGTTGTGTTCCCCGTTGACCAAACATTTTCCAATGGTACTATGTAAGCATAGGAACAGCAGATGGAGTGTACTTCTATATAGTGTTGCATTTTCAAAGTCCCCTGAAAATATACAAGTTAATCCCCACAACCACCCGATAAGACAGGTAAGTAACAAACATTAATGATAGACAAGAATTGTTTTTGAAATCAGTAAAACATGGGGGCAAAGAAAGAAGTTGAATCAATCAATTATATTTAGTTAAAAATTGTGATATACACAAAAATGGCTACTGTTGTATTGAACTAGTCACACTCAACCGGCCAAAAAGCCACACGTAGCTAATAGCTAGCGCACTGGACACCACTATTGTAAAGTTTAATTCATGTTAGAAAGTCAGAGTAGCAGGAAAAAGCCTGGCTAGAGGAGTCAGAAGAAACCACGGCATTTGATTTTGCAGTTATAAGTAGCCATGCAAAATTTCACAGTCAAACTAGAAGCATATTTCTACCCCTCTGCTAAAACCTGCTCCACAAAAATGTAAGTTTTATTTAACAGATAATTATTGTCTTCACATTGTACATTCTAAGGCAAAACAAAGTAATACAGGATTTCGCACCACTTTACCTGAAGCCCTGCTCTTTGTGAGCGAGACACTGCCTTGGCCTTGGCCTTTCCACTGTCCTTGCCAGCCTTGCCTCCAGCCTGAACAAGAGAGCAATATTAGAATTAATAAAACAAGCCCATGCACAGACAAAAACCTGCACTGCATCACCATCTTCACCACCACAGTTAAGAATCCAAGAGTCTTACCTCTTCTGCTCAAACTTGGAAAATTTATCCCCAAAAAGATTAAGCAACATCTCTTACTTGAGGAATGTTTGTATCCAGAGTTCTCTATTAAAATTGTGCACATGAACATGGGGGCTTGACTGTTTAGTTGCACCTAACTTCCCAAGTTTGCAGGTGTTTACAGCTTATGTAAATATTTTTCAACCAAAACCACCCACATCTATTCCTTTTATGTCAGTTTTTGTAAGATCACATGACTGCTTTATGCTAAAGCCAGAAAAATTTAAGAGCACGACCATGCTATTTTTAAAAAGTCAGTACTTATGCTGAAAAGTTTGTTAGCAGATCAGAATGTTAAACAATTCTATTGCAGTTGTAATTTTCCACAGTGAATTTACTGATCACCTAATGAATATTCTTACCTGAACTAGTTTATTTGGCTGAATAAGTTAACTTATCTGATAATCCCAAGAAATCTAGGGACCAACCCCTACCCCCTTCAGTTTTTGTTATAGCAAACTGCAAGGCTCACCATGCAATAATGTTGATAAACTACCCCAGGTGTAGAAGCTAGAGCAGGCCTACTCAACACGTGGCCCACAGCCCGCTTGCAGCCCATGGTGTGGTTTGGGTTTACACAGGGCTCAACACATGGCCCACAGGTGGGATCCTTTGAACATGGCCTCTACTGGGAACATGCTCCATAATGGCGAGTCAATACAATGGTTTTCTGTTGAGATGCGTTTTAGTAGTTAAATTCCTGGACTGTCATTGCTCATTAAAAGTGCTGTCATATGAGTGGAAATTGGGTAAATATTGTATTTTATTAATATCAGCAGAACTGACTTAAATGGGGCCTGCATGTTGTGTAGTCTTGCCCTAATCTTTGTATTCATGTCAGTCAGTGTGAAAGAAGCTATTTCCATATATATTTTTGCATGTACATGCAACCACACTTAAGTTGAGACCCTTGCCTTGGCATGTGCTGAGAGTATCATTGTGGCTTCCAAAGTTAAGTATCCCTGAGCTAGAGAGAGGATGAAAACTGGCAGATTCCAGGACTACACAGGATCACTGTAATCATCTCCTTACAAACTTCTTCAGATTCTTAAGGCAGATATTTCAGAAAGCATCCAATCTTGTTTTAAAACTAGTCTGTGACAATCCATCACAACGCTTGGTAAGTTATTCCAATGAGTAACTGCTCTGTTACAAATGTAGGCCTTATTTCCAGTCCGTATTTGTCTGGCTTCAACTTCCAGCCATTAGATTGCATTAGTTCTTTCTCTGTGACACCGAAGAACCTGTTATCACATATTTGTTCCCCATCTAGGTACTCACAGACTAAATCAAGTTACCCTCTAACCTTCTCTTTGCTCAATTAAGAAGATTGAGCTCCTTGAGTCCATCACTGTGAAGCATATTTTCTAATCCTTTAATCATTCTCATGGCTTTTTTCTGACCCCTCTCCCACTTACCCTCTTGAATTGTGCACATTAATACCCAATAAAATATACCAGCAACAGTCACATCAATACCAAATAAAGAGATTAAATAACCTCTTCTCTTCTCCTTGAGATTCCCCTGTTTAGTTACCCAAGGGCTGTGTCTAGACTGGCATGATTTTCCGCAAATGCTTTTAACGGAAAAGTTTTTCCGTTAAAAGCATTTGTGGAAAAGAGCGTCTAGATAGCCCCGAACACCATTTTCGCCATTCTTACGCAAAACCGCGTCTAGATTGGCACGGACACTTTTCTGCAAAAAGCAACTGGATTGCTTGGTTTTTGCATTGTTTATCACTTTCCCAACCTGGGTCGTCTGCAAGCTTTATCAGGAATGATTTTAGGTTCTCTTCTATGTCATTAATAAAATGTCCATAGCATAGGGCCAAGCACTGGCCTCTGCAGGATCCCATTAGAAACACACCGTTCAGCAATGAATAAATACCCATTTGAGAGAAGATGCATCTCCCATCCCTGAACACACCACATGTAGCCAGATGTTACCCTCTTTCCGAAGTCATCCAACACCATTATAATGATGCTTTCTTTTGCCAATGCTGGGAACCAGATTCATGTGTAATGAAGATACAGTGTAGTGTGGCCTCCTGGCTAGAGAACTGGACTAGGCCTCCTGGCAAGTCACTTCACTTCTATGCCTGGAGTTTTGCCATCTGTGAATAGGAGATAATATTTACCTCCTTTATTCTAAGTACTTTGAGACAAATACATCATCAGTTATTGTGCTGAAAGTTTTGCTATTCCTGACTCTTTCGGAAAGCAATGAATATGCAGGTTTCAGTTCACCTACTCAAATGGCAATGGAAGTAATTGTGGAGTCAGCAATAGGGATGTCAGTGGTTATCTGGTAAGCATCGCCCTTATTGGGCGATGCTTACCAGTTAACCAGTGGCCCAGCAGGGCTAGCCAGGCCCAAGCAGCCTGCCGTGGGCAGGGGCCACTTAACTGATTTAAATGGGGTTTTACATCCCTAGTCAGGAAACATTTTATCTGGTCCCATCTTCAGCTCTTAACTAAGTTTTTGGCTGGTTAGCGCCAACACATTAAAAAATATTAAGGTACACTAAAACTGGGAAGATTGCAATTAGTCCAGAATGGCACTGTACCATATTATCACAGTGTGGAAACGGCTTCATAATACATTAGCGAAAAGGGACATCATGAAACAAGGAAAAGTTATTTACTTGCTCCCATAACGTAAGAACTAAGGGTCACCAAATAAACTTAATAGGTAGCAGGTTTAAAACAAAAGGAAGTTTTTCTTCATGAAGCACAGTGTCAACCCGTGGAACTCCTTGCCAGAGAATGTTGTGAAGACCAGGATTTTAACAGGGCTCAAAAGAGAACTAGATAAATTCATGGAGGTTAGGTCCATCAATACTTATTAGCCAGAAGAATAGGAATGGTGTCCCTAGCCTCTATTTGTCAGGAGCTGGAAATGGATGACAGAAGAGGGATCACTTGATGATTCCCTGTTTTGTTCACTCCCTCTGGGGCATCTGGTATTGGCCGCTGTTGGAAGACAGGGCACTGGGCTAGATAGACTTTTGGTCTGACCCAGTGTGGCCTTTCTTATGTTCTTAAACATTACCGCATTCTGTAACAGTAGCAGTTTGAAAATGGCACTCAGAGCAGAACACCCTCCACTTCACAGTATAGCTTGAAGGGTATGGTTAGGCTACTTGTCAAAAAGGACTAAGGAATACACAGGGAGTACGAAAGATAGGATTTTTTTCCATTCAACATTCCATTTCTATAGAGGAAAGCACACTCCCTGATCAAGATAGAGGTTAGAAGTTTAAAATACTAATGTCTATGCAGACTATGTTAAAGGGTCATTAACTTGAAATCTAACAATTTCTTCAATAGAAGTCACCCACTCACTTTTTATTGTTACAAATATTTTAGCACACACACAGCAACAGCAAAGATCAACACCTACATAAAAGGTGGGAAAAGAACTATACAAGGAAAATAGCAAAAAGTGACTAGAACAGACAAATGTAGAGGTTTGGTTTTTTTTAAACTTGTAGTTATCTAAGTAGCTTGGGTATTCACATGGCCCAATTATTAAAATCTGTGAACCTCACAAGAACACAGACTGGGGGGGGGGGGGGGGGCAGAAGAGTGTCACTAAGTGACTAATAGAAGTCAAACAGGACACCTCTGGTAGAGCTGGGAACCAAACCACAGTTTTCAGAGACCTGAGCAAGTATTCTAACTGGTTGGACAATCCTCTCTAACCTGTAAAGAAAGGTATCCTTCTCAAGTGAGATCTCTTGGACACAGAACATGATTAACACAATGCCTTAAGTAAAGCATACATACTAATTTTGGTGATTAATATGCAAAAAAGACCACTGTTTAAGCAAGTGCAAAGTCTTCACACCTGTCTACAGTAATTTGGTAGTTTAACATTTACCATAAATTAGCATATATAACCCACACTCGTGTATAACCCGCACCTGTGCAAAACCTGTGGTTTTTCCTGAAGGTGTAAAAAAAAGTCTTAGATAACCCGCACACATGTATAGCCCACGGGTTATATACACACTACTTTAAGGTACCTGGTAATTGTACATACCAGCCACAGACTCCGGGAGGGGAGGAATGGAGAGTGCAGCGCAGGCGAGCTGGTCGGCCTGCAGGAGGGGAGCCACACTTGTGGCCAGGTTCCACGCAGCTGCAGCCAGGCACAACCCACCCTCCTCCGGGTGGAAGGAACGCAGAGTACCACGCAGGCAAGTAAAAATAAACTTGTATACCCTGCAGGTGGGTTGTGGGGTTTGTAAAACTTTGTATAACCCACAGGTTATATGCGGTAAAACACGGTATATACTGTACCTGATCCAAATGTTAGAGTGGTAGTCTGGTTAAACTAGTTTAGAGATGGAAAAGGTTAAGAAGAGAAGCTGTGTTTGGAGTCTCATTTAAGCCACTGTTACCATGCATTTGCTCTGTATGTTATGCCACGTCTATGCTACCAGCATTTTGGCAATATAGCTATACCACCAAAGCGCTCCTATGGTACATCTACACAGCAGAGTTATTTTAGAATAACTGACGTTATTCTGAAATAAGAGAGCGCGTCTACACTACCAACAGTTATTTCAAAATAATGTTGAGCTGGAGGACTTCTTACTCCAACCTCAAAGTAACCCGCATTCCACAAGGAGCAAGGGAAATTGACGGAAGAGTATTCTTCCTTCAACTTCCTGCTGTGTAGACAGTGTCAAAAGCTGAATTAAGCTATTTCAACAAGCTACGCAATTGACGTAGCTGAAGCTGCATATCTTAATTTGATGTTAGCCCTGCTGTGTAGACGTATGTTCTTCTCTTAAGATGGACACTAGGCAATCACACTGGGTCAAACCCCTGGAGGGATAGCTCAGT